TCTTGGAAATTCAATGCAGAGAGAGGGATTCAGAGGTAGATATAGTTATATGAATAGATAGATAGATAAATAGGATACAAAGATACATATATACATTTGTGTGTGTGTGTGTGTTTGTGTTTGTGTTTGTGTGTGTGTGTGTGTGTGCGTGTGTGGAGAGAGAGAGAGAGAGAGAGAGAGAGAGAGAGAGAGAGAGAGAGAGAGTAAGATGCGTGAAACTAAACAACAAAACAATATAAAAATATAAAATAAAATGACGGTATTCTTAGTGCATCGTTGGAAGTAATAAAAGCCCAAACAAAAGCAATATAGTATAATTTATTTTTTTTAATTGATCAAGTAATTACAGTTCACAAAAGCCTATTTCAGGAGCCAACATTAAAAAGCCTATTAAAACAACGTTTGAGAGATTGTAAATAGTAAAAAGATATTAAGTAAAAAATTTCACGAAATCCTAAATTGAAAAAGGGCTTTTGCAATTTAAAACCAACTACTTACATTATGGCAGTTTGAATGGTTTTAATTTAATATAACTAAGTTAATTATACATAAAATCTTACTTCATGTAATTCCAATCAATAGATTGACATTTTTGAGTAAAATTAATTAATTAATTTGATAGTGCATTTAACATAAAATTGCGAATTTAACATAAAATGTAATGACGCTTGTAGAAATTAATTAATTTTAATTCATGACAAAAACTGATTATTTAAAATTCGAATGAAAACAACCACATTTTTGAATCGAAAGAAGTGAATATGCATTAATTCAAAACAACGTTTTAACCATTTCAATGACAAAAATGAGGTTTCTAACTTAGACCTATTAAAAATTAATTAATTAGGGCAAATCTTAAAAATCAGAGTTTATTTCGAAAAAAAAATATATATACACACTGTCCATAAAAAAAAAATCGACCACCTGGTTTTTGCAGGAAAAAATGGCCTACTTTGCAAATGCATATTTTCTCAGCCTTTTAAGTCACAGACCACTAGGTCTCATTTTTAAAAAAAATTTACGCTGAATAAGATGACTTTGTTGAAATGTTTTCCTAGCTTCAGTCATTCATCAGTAAATTCAAAAATTCGGGAGCATGTTACTTTTTGCACTTTTTACGAAAACTTCAAATTGGAAGCCAATTCAAAGAGGAACCAGGAAATCGTCTAGCAATAGATAGGAAATTTTGGGAAGCCGGTTACCTTCTACTTTGCCCAATTTCCAACTTTTTTTGACGGGCAGTGTATTTGTGTATATATATATTGATTTTCCAACAACAAAAAATTATACCTATTTGTTTAAATTCCTTTTTCATGTACTGTTCAAAGTTTCCTCTGCAAGCATTATTTTTCTTGCGTTTTAGAAGATCAGATCAGAGGCCTTAAAACCGAAAAGTTTCTTGAATTGAAAATGAATTTAAACGATATAAACATGGGATAAAGTCGAATCCTTCCTTTGAAACGTTCCAAAAGGGCCATAAACAACGGGTCAACTCCGGGCTAAACACTACACCCGGTTTTTAGGGTGTTTTACGACAAGGGGGAAAAAAGAACTCAACCTATAAACCTCTGCCACCTCCCCTTTTCCTTTTATTCCTCTTATACATTTCCTCCACGACGCTGTAAATCATTGACGGCTGGAAGCGATAAGATTTACCCCGTGACTTAACTGCTAAACTTCCTCCGACTAATCGAATTATTAACACTTGAACGGTTCGTCATTTCCCTACATAAAGTTATAAAAAGAAAAATCTTGACTTTCGACAAACAGTTTCCAAAACCTTCCTAGAAATATCTGTAAAAATATTGAACGTGGTATTTTACAACACCATAAGAAGATGCCGGATGTCAACATTTCAAATTCCTTTACGATGACCGTAGCTTCATCGTATACTAAAACGTATTGCTGATACTGCTTTATAAGGACTGGCTTCTAAACAAAGTTGGTTTCTAGGTTTATATTACACAAATTATGATTTTTCTCTTGGAAATTCCATGTAGAGAGGGGTATACAGAGGTAGATATAAATATATGAATAGACAGATAGATAAATAGGATAAGATAGAAAGAAAGATACATACATATATATATTNAGACAGACAGACAGACAGACAGACAGACAGACAGTCAGACAGACAGAGTAAAAATTTGTAAAATGAATGTATGAATGTGAGAATATGTGGTCCATAGGAGAAAGTAATAAAATGAAAGATAGATTTAAACTAAAACCAGTCAGAAATTGATAGAATAGTTAAAGATAGAAGAGAGTGAGTGAGTGAGCGAGAGAGAGAGGGAGGGAGGGAGATAGAGTAAAGTTGTGAAAAATGAATGTGAGAATGTGCGACAGACAGTGTGCGCTAGGAGAGGTAGTAAAATGAAAGATAAAGTCAAACTGAAAATAGCCAGAGAATGATAGAAAACCTAAAGATAGAAAAGAGTGAGTAAGAGAGAAATAAATAGAGAGAAACAGAAAGACAAAGAGAAAAAGAGAAAAACCATGTTCATTTATTCCATACACCAGATTCGATATACATTTTTAAATTATCGCAGTAAATTAATGGTGATAATTTTATCTTTAAGGAACATGTGCATGTAAAATTGTAATGCTAAATTTGAGAAAAGGCACAAAAAAAGATGGAGCCAAAACTAATTATCCATATTGTGTGACCTTTGAGAGTCCGGACTTACAAAATAGCTGAAAGGCATGCCGAAAATGCAATTCGACCCCTTGGGGGAAAGTGCAGTGACCCAAAGGACCGTTTATAGGTTAGTCTAGAAACGAAGTTGGATAACGACCACCTAAAGGATGTGGTTAAATCCAGCCCCTCCCAGACCACATGGGTATTAGGGATACAGATCAGGATAAGTGCCACGGACGTTTCTAAGCGTTTTATACATGGTTGGAAAATCAAAAAAGGCTTAAGTGCAGCACGAGTCGCAAAAGGAAATCCGAAACTCGTCACAGGTCGAAGTCGAGTCTGCACGCGTCGTACTATCGTCTCCGGCGAAAATTGGCTGATGATAATCGGACGTCGGTGGTTAGATAAGGGTGAGCAGACGTACCATATGCTCATGCGACCGCACGTGTCTGGTATAGATCTAATTGCCAGAAAACAAGTCAATAAGAGCGTTGTTTTGATACGTGACGTAGGACAATGTTCGAGCTCAATAAACTTAAAATTCACAGTCTGCCATAATAGATCGCCCAGTATAATTTAAAATAGATGTTTATTTAACAAAATGGTAAGGGATACAATCCATCATTCAATTCATTCTAAACCAGACATTTCCTAGGTTCGCTTGGTCCAAAGCTTTCATAAATTCTACAAACCAATTTAATATAATATTCCCATTTTTTATTATATTTACTACTAAATTTTGGTTGGGTATGTGTAAAATAAATTTAACAATGAAACCAATGAGACGTTAGTCTTTTCACACATTCCGAAACGTCAAAAACCGCTCTAGTGGAAACATTCCTTTTACTTTTACGTTTTCACCCATCGTACAACAAAAATGGTATTAATTAGACGTTAATAATGGAAAATTGAGAAAAATAGAAAAGACAGATAATGTAAATTACTATTTTATTTTACTTATACTTTATTTAATTATATCCATCAAATGTTATGCAATTGGCATGTCATAAAACATTAAACAGATCGATAAAATAAAAGGGAGTACGAACAACAATTAACAATTAATTTTACATCTATATAATAACAAGTTTCTTCAAGTGAAGAGTGTAGAAAATTGCGTCTCTGAGTTTGAGCAAATTTTAAAACCTCAAAAGACAATCAGTCGTGCATATTACATTAATTTCTAGATTTGTTTGTACGTTTGTACGCTTTGTGTGATACTAAGACCTGGTAAATATATTTATTTATGTGTGAGTGTGTATGTGTGGGAAAGTGAAAGAGGGGGCAAACAGAAAACAGACAGAAAAAGTGAGAGAGAGAGAGAGTGAGAGAGAGAGAGAGAGAGAGAGAGAAAGAGAGAGTGAGAGGGAGGGACAGAGGGAGAGACAGAGAGAGAGTGAGAGAGAGAGACAAACAGAGAGAGGGAGAGAGAATGAGAGAAAGCGAGAATAATTGAATGAATGTATATAGTTTTATTTAAAAATCGGGTAAATTAAGGTCGCGAACAATCCCTCTTACAATTAACAAGAAAATAATTTAGATACTATTTTATATAACAATGTACGCCTAAAACACAATTGTTATACTTATTACAATAAACAAACACAAAATTAAAATTATACATTTTTTTAAACATATAATGACCATACAATGATTTAGTTATTATACGGTGTTTAATAACGTCCGAAAAATGAAACAGAAATTTAAACTTATTTTAAACCGTTTATTTTAACACATTATTAATTTTATCAAAAATCTTAATTTGTAATGTTTTTAAATAGTGCTTTTTTAATTTTTTTAAACTGGATATAGTTTTATTTAATTTTATGTGTCTTTTAGGTAAATTTTTGTAAAAAGTTGTATACTTTAGTAAACAAATGAATTATAGCACGTTTCTGTTCTACATTTTGGCATTTTTTATAAATATACAATTTAGACCGAGAGAAAAGAGAGAGAGAGAGAGAGAAGACAGTCAAAAAAGAAAAAAGAAAGAAAGGGAACCAGAAGGAAAGCCACAAGAAAACTTGAGGTGTGTTTCTGTGACTATGGCAAATTAAATGAAAATTATTGCCCATAAAATAAGTGTTCCTAGATTCTGAAACTTTATCCTTACATCATAAATTTTATATTTTGTTTTTGCGTCGTCTAAAATGCAACAAATCTTGCTTAAGCGATATACATATGTAATCATAGGTTAAATGTTATAAAAAATATATATTTTAACGTTTGTTGTACGAAAAGCCGGCTTAGCACATGTGTGCTTCACATGTCGACCAGGGGGCCCCGGCTGTTTCTTCCAGGTAAGCGTTTAGGCCGCAAAATGGACAAACGGGTTTAGTTGGAGATTCAAAAAAGTACAAACCCAATTTTTCCTCGTCGTGAAAACTCCGTCGAAACCTGCGACCGCCGAGTATGACGAGAAGCCGACGTAGGCGACCCTCCGTTTGGTGAACGTCGCCATTCTCTACACTGGCGCGGGACAGACGACGAGGTGAACACGGAAGAATATAAATCTGAGGGGTAGGCACGAGTCACCGATCGCACATGTACCGCACATGTTTCCTCTCCAGGAGAAAATAGAAGGGGGAAAAGTCAAAATTATTTCTGGAGTGAGCCACGTCATTAAAGTATTCCTAGAGAAGGCAGGTGTCGTATTATAAACAGGGGGGACAACTGAAAAAACCTTACGAATGTGTAAAAATTCAAAAGACGTCTTATAACAAGAATCAACGATTGTTCCAAAGCAAACCTAAAAAAGAAGCATCATGAAATCTGTGGTAATCTCATAACGAATAAAAAATCCACCATGAATAATATGCCCTTTTTATTAAAACCTACGGTCAAAGCTTCAAAACCAGGTAAATCTTATTTTTCGAATGACATATATTTGTACAATCTGACTAAAAACGTTAATAAATCCATTTGAAAATTTTTTGTGAAAATACGCGCGTGGGTGTGTGTGAGTGTTTCAGTTGAAAGTAATCAAACTCAATTGCAAAACAAAACAGATTTCCAATACGTGAATGATAAGTTTTTAATGTATGGTAAAATAAAAATAGCATTCATTAATTTAACAAACCACGACAGGCTCTTCGGTCACAGAGTATTTGCCAGAGGTCATTGTAACCTTCACACTCCAGTCGCAAATCGTCCACTGTTTGGGGTTCTGCTGGACTGCATGAGCAAGCAGGACTGTTAATGATGGAGAAACGTTACAAGTAATTTGCCGTTCTGCCAAGCCCGGCAGAATTTGCGTCAGCCTATAATCCATTTTTAAGTGCATGTTGCATCCGAAAGCGAGAGGGGTCAGTTTTGGAAAATTTCTTCGTTTGTAGGCCATGTACGGTGTTATTGTCAAGTCCTCTCACACCTCCAGGCTGCGCTCACCCATCGCCTTCTTGACTGTGGCTAAAGAACCCAGGTGTAGGAGTGACAAATCATCACCTTGTACCAATAAAAAGTAAATATCAAATTTTCACAGCCGTTTGTCGAGCAATTCTTAGCTATGCAGGTCATGTTTGGGGCTATCGCGAATATGAAGAGATAGAAAAAGTTCAGCGTTTTTTTGTTCGTAAGTTGTTTGACCTGCCATCATCAACTCCTAATTATATGTTGTATATTGAGACTGGCATAGAACTGTTGTTTATTTATTCTTTAAGGTTACATTTTAAGTTTATTTTGAAATCGCGTCAAGCTCCTGATTCTCGCCGGGCAAAAATTTCATCACTTGAAGTTATTAAGGGTAACATATCCTGGTTCAGATCCTGGAATTCTCTTGCGGAGAGGTATAATGTGGCTCGGTTCTCTTTGGATAATTTTGCAGCGTGGTCTGAAATGTTTTCCAATCTTCTTCATGTTATGGGGGCTCGTCATCGGGAGAGTTGTATTTCTCGTGCCGTGGACTCAAATAGATTCCAACTCTACAAGGAGTTGAATCATTCCCTAACTCCTTGCAATGTTTTTTCTACTCCAGCAAATTATGTCCCGGTCTCTTTTTTCCGCTGGTGGTTTAAAATTCGAGGGGAGTTGTTCCTGAATTTCAGGCCTTGGGTTGGGAGTACTCCTGCCACTGCATTGTGCTCTCTATGCAACTAAGGTGATCGTGAGGTTGCATTTCATTTTCTCGCTAGATGCTCGGTCCTGAACGAATTGAGGTATCTGTACGTGGGTAAGGGTTTTCTGACGAGGGAAGAGCTCATAGCCCTTCTGAACGGCTCCGATTGCCGAGGTCTTGTTGATTTTGCTCGGAAAGCCTGGTTTTACAGATATGAATACATTGGAATGTAGGGGATTAATATTCTGTTCGTCTTATTTTGTTTCTTTTTTGTTTGTCTTTTGTTTTTTTATTTTGTTCTGTTTGTCTTAATACATATAATTTCTAGTTTGTGGGCTTCTAAATGCGAATTCTGTTGGCCTGTGGGGGACCCTTTGTAAGTTAGAATCCTTTTGTTCTTTGAAGTGTCATTTTTATTGTTTCCTAAGTTTATCGCAATTCAACCTTGTAATTTGAAAATCCTGTAAATAATTGTAACCTCTGAAGTTGATATTTTAAATTCTCCTTTTCTTATAATTATATAATTATGCATATTTTTTTTTTGCTGGGGCTTCCGACATCTAGGTCATTTCAGCCCAATATTCTTGGGATAGTAATGTACTCCGAACTCTGGCTGACGGTTTTAATACCATGCCATAATAATACTGTTTTTTATTTTTAACTCTAAATTTTTTTTTTTTCATTTTGTAAATAAAGTATCTATATACAAATCATCAGGAAGCAGTCATCAGGAAGCAGTCATAGCCACCGATCCGCGAGTTCATTTCTCGATATCCCAACATGCGATCTAACCAACGAAAATGAATTCATGTGAAAACGCACCACTCTCCGCAAGATCTTATTTTCTATATCAGCGCCTGATGGCGATGGCACGACGTCGTGCTCCACCCGTTCTATTGCCAATTGTTCGGCCTGATTATAAAACCTGTGTATGTGTATTACTTTTGTTTGCATGTGTAAGTTGTGTGTATGTGTGTAAATATATGTGCTTGATTGCTGTCGTGAGAGTGATTAAATGAAAATATTGTGTGATTGAGTGTTTGCGAGTATGTGATATTGTTGTGTATGCGTAAGTCTGTTTGTTTTTGAATGCGAGCTCGAGTGTATCTAAGCTGTCAGTGGAATAGTTTGTGTACGGCTGAATGAATGTCTGTGAAAGTGAGATGAGGTTGTGAGTGAGAACGTGAGAGCTAGTGAGGGTGCAAATGAGTGCGAGCGTGTTAAATCAAATTTTCCCCAAATTTAAAACTCAAGACGGAAAAGATGAAAGGAATAATAAAATGTTTTATGGTTAATTATTATTTTAATTAATTTAAAAGCAACTTTTGCTAAAAAAAAAGCAACTTTAAATTAGGATGTGCAACCGTGCTAATCAGAGCGAACATTTCAATGAATGTGATTAACGAGGCCTCATTCATGGACTTAAAAAAAGGAAGTTAAAGCAGAGGAAGTTAGGAAAATTCGCCGTAATACGAATCCGTCGGCAATCTAGCTTTTTTTATTTCTGTAGCGGAATAAACTTCAGAAGTTCGGTTTAAAAAATCATGTTTCATTTATAATTTTTAACATGGTTTCATCCAAAATCGGTTTGACTAGAGTTTTAGATTTTTATGTGCAGTTGTATTAAACTAAATGTTATGTATTTTCAAGGATCATTGACGGATTTAACTTCATTAATGAAGACTGATCGATCAAAAATCGCCTACTGATCGTAAATCAGGAGAGTTACGGCAAAATCCTTCGGTTCAAACATGACTAATTAATTGGTAAAATCGTCGAGGGAAAAAAATCTGACGGGAACGTTTACATAGCCATAGCCATGTTTGCTGAAATGGAAAGTGCACGGTTTGCTTCCGTCCGACCTGAAACGGCCAGCTCGAAGGCAGAAAATAAAGCGGATAATTAATTTTTTAAAAACAATTTCGAACTATTACACAATTTAGAAAAGAATTGGTGTGCTGGATTATGGGAGAAATCGTGGAGAAAAAATAAAATCAATGAATTCATAACATTAATCAATATTAAAAAGGCAATCATTTCACAAAACCCTGGTAAACAATGAGTTTTTCCCTGGCAGCTCACCCTTGATATTCACGGCCAGGAACTAATAGTTAAATTCAATGCTGCAATATTGTTAACAAAAAAAAAAAAATCCCAAGATAAAAGTAATTATTTTATTTTCGCTTTGGAACAAACAATTAAACCGCGCTTCTTAGCGGATCTGCCTAATTATTCCTTCACGACATCTAATTATAAGTTACAGCTGGTTAAAATTAAGTCAACCCATGCTTCTGGATAAAAATACACATTGAACATAATAACATATACCAGCAATAAAACATTTTTCCATTCTATGTCAATCTTCTTAGTCTACTTCAGCGACTCTGAAGTGAAATTTAACTTTTTTTTTTTATTATTTTATTTTATTCCTCGGGCACTCTCAACAACACGCAGGAATGGCAGAATTATACAGAAGACAAACACTTTGAGCCCTGAAGATGATCTCAATAAAGATCGAAACGTTGGCACGATTAAGAAAATGTTTTTCTGAAACCTACATCACACCAGACCGCATCTCACGATTTCTGAATAATAATTTTATAAGTGTACTTACAGTCAATTGGCATATTTTAGGAAATAATAACACAATTATTAACTTGTCAGATGTCTTCAGTTGTCTTTGAGGTGATTAATCTGACATTTGTTGCTGTTTGCTTTGATCCTCACTGATCAGACGTGTATCGGTATTTTCACTGAGAGACACACTGAAGATGGCAAAACGCTGACGTCTGAGGACGTCGAAAACCACGAGTATAGACGGACACAGTGCCGGTTCACCATACTTAAATCACTTAAAATACTTAGTCGGAATTTAGAATTAATTGAAAAAATTGAAAGAACGCTATATCTTATTATGTAAGGTCTTGGATCTTGGTTGAGGTGAAAAAGTTAGTGCCACGAACGGGATTCGAACCCACGACCTTCGGCGCAAGAAGATAGCTCAAGTGGTTAGAGCAGCGGCGTATTGCGCCGAAGGTCGTGGGTTCGAATCCCGTTCGTGGCACTAACTTTTTCACCTCAACCAAGACCTTCCATAAAAAGAATAATTAAATTGAGCCAATATAAGTAATGAATTTTTAACGAAAAATACTAAAAACAGGTTCCTTATATCCAAATATAACATCATTATTTTTTATTAGTTTTACTAATTGTTTAGGTTATTCGTTGGGCTAATTAATGCACTTCATCTTTTAATTATTACTAAATAAAAATATCTGAAGGTTGTTGTTTTATGCTACCTAGTTATTATTGTTAGTTTAAGTACAAATTATTTTTAGTTAAGGCAAAAAAGAACTAGTAGACTTTCGACTCACGAATACCAAAAACAGGCAAATGTTTCTTGTTAAAGAACCTTTGAACCAGTTTTGAAATTTACACTGTTTTTTGAATTATTTTCATCATTTAAACCAATTTTTACGAAATTTGTATTGCAACAAGATCCTCCAGGGATAACGGCTCACCAAGCGAGACCATTACAGATCTTCATATACACCAACTTCCTTTCATTCCAGAAGATCATTTTCTCGTAACACGTTGAAGTAAAAATTCATCAGAAGAGAAAATCGTTGAAGTATATCTCCGGCCTACTTTGCATCGCATAGAACCATGACGTCTAGACGACAGTCAGACCAAAGGAGAGCTTTTCAGCACCCGATGCGAAGAAACTTCGACTTTCAATTTTTTCCCAAGCTGAT